TCTACGGCAACGTCGTACGTGTGCTTAATCGGAGGTGGAAGTCTCGTTCCACCCTATCCCTTTCACACGTACGTAATGCTCTCCATCGACAGCACGGGACCTCCCTCTGCCACATTTTTATGCGAAAAAATGCGTGTGCCCTGCGGGCGAAATGCCCACAACTAACATTGGAAGTACTTCGTTCTTTTCAGGGAAACGAAGTGATCACGGACGGGTAGATCATGTTGTGCGGGGTCGAGACCCTCACTCCGCCCAAGGGGGATGATCGCACCAGGTTGTGTTGAAATGGCCAAGCACCCTCGAGGCAGTTATACAGTGCTTATAACCGTCTCTGGAAGTGAAAGCATCAGAAAATAAATTAAGTAATACGCAACTGTCATCCGTATGCAAGGAAGCACAAGATGCCGAAAACCCTTAGCACGATGCAGCGAACTCTTCATGCGACTCGCGGAATATCTCACGGCGCTTCGCGCTTGGTGATGTGAGAGCCTGGTTCGGTGAGAACCCNACGATAGCAGGAGGAGCAAAGAAATGGCGGAGAAGGACTCCGAGGGCAAGACCGGGGAAGGCAAGAAGGACGCCGGAGTATTCGACGAGGAGAACGAGGAGGGGTCCGAGGCAAGTCGATCTTGTTCTGTGTTTTAGAGGCCTCACAAACCATGAAGCGGAACGGCGTTGCTATTCGGTGGTTGCCGACATGCAGTTGATCACGTGCCGTCATAAAGCCTAAACCGACGCAAATTATTTTTCGAAGACCTGAAGTCAGAGGCCGATTGGCCCGAAGGGTTTCTTAGCATCATCGAGTGATCGTCTACTTCATATTTCGGGTGTTGCTGTAGTCCTTTTCAGGCGGGCCCGCCGTTCATAGGACGCGGCGTAGACGCGGCGTCGTCTTCCATAACTAATCTAGACCGTGCACTCGAAAGTACAACGCGTAGTCTTGCTANGACTAGACTACAGCGTTGACAACTTTGGGAATGCCAAATGATAAACGCCCAGTTTTCCCCGTGGAGATGGTGCAAAGTCCGCCGCCAATCTCTTTCAGGGCAAAAAGTCGCCCTTCCCCTGGCAACCGCTCAAGCTGGGCCTGGGCGTAGCACCTACCTTGCCGAACTTCTTATAGTGTCAGGGTTGGCCAAACCGTAAGTATTTTCGGGGGTAGGTAGCAGTGAAACCGCTTATTCTTGATTGAGTGGAAACCGTTTCGATCGAGATGAGATATGCCTCACGCAAGCTAGCACAACGATATGTACACTCCAGGATGACGTGAGGGCTACGCTGAGCCGAACGTCGTGTTGGATGTGACGTCCATGGAGGAGAAAGTAAACGCAATATTGCCAAACATTGCGCCCTCGAAAACGGTGTCAAACGCGCTCCCGGCAAGGCCATGTTGAGAGAAGTCTATATAATTCACTGCTGTAGGAAAAAGAAGTGCTCCTCCCTGCGTTTTCACGCAAAAAATGTGTGAAAAGGAAACAGACCCGACACCAGTCCCACCCCCCCCCATCCATCACTCGACGCAGTTCTTCATTTGGTGGTGCTTCTACAGTATTGAAGCAACAATGGCATGAAATGATAGTACTTTGAACGTTAGCTGCACAGCCAAGCGGCAACACCGATCATCATGGTGGGCAGTCGCCCAGCGAGAGTATGGAAAAGCCCAATGCAAGCATCCGCCGGAAAACAATCCCTGAGAGAAACCTAGTAATAGGACAACACAGTAACAGTAAACCACCTTAGACTACAGGCTAGGCAGCATTTTCGTCGTTCATCAGCAGCGTGGTAAGACCAGACCTGAAAACGTACGGTTTGGCAATAGAAACCTTGCTGACGTTGCCCTGCCAGTGAAATGATGCGCGGAGAGGTGCGATGGTGAGTTGTGGGCTTTGCAAATCTCGCCCGACCCACTCGTTCAGGGGAGAAGAAACAGGTCGAGTGCTGCGTAGTTGTCTTCTTCATTCAACAGTTTCGTACCGATTCATCTGTTGCGGTCCTGCCGTGCTGCGAGAAATTGTCGCATGTATTTTCCTGACTCCAAACATTCCTGACCGGAGGGTCAGCCTGACGCAAGGCGTTCAATCGTGCTTGCACGTGGGAAATCACGTACGTCATGGAGTAGCGTGAGCCACCCTAGCTATCACACCTGTTTACACCCCTTCAAGCGCTTTGTAGGTGGTTGCCTCCTTTAAGCTGCATCACTCGGGTGACCTCTTTATCACATCCCCGTTGGTAGGGTCCTGTGAGCGCACTGCAACCACACGGGCGATCTTATCACACCCCCGGCAGGCCGGGTCCTGCGTGTTCGCTTCATCACACGGATGAAGTTATTATACCCGATTGTTATCACACCCCCGTGCTTTCACATCCCCTTGTTTTCACACCCCTTGTTATCACACCCCTTGTAAGCCGGGTCATGTGAGCGCGCTTCATCACACGGGCGACGGTATCACACCCCATTGTTATCACACCCTTGTTGTTGTTATCACACCCCCTGTTGGTGGGGCTCTGTGAGTGCACTTTATTATTTGGGTGACATAAGATATCACACTCCCTACAGAATACCACACCCGTGTGATAACTTTTGTGCCCCCGAAAATGATATCACACGGGTGTGGTATTTTATGCAACCTACGGTAGTCAATCATGAACAACACCAGCAGCTCGACAGGACAGCGTCTCTCGCTGCACAGCGTAAGCCATTTCTCCCAACAGGTTAGGAGCGAACGTGGTAGGTAATCCACATCGTGTCACAATGTCCTCCGTTAACCCTATCCTGAAGGGATATGCATCGTTCAGCGGAAAGCCGGCGCACTACAGCAGTTCGACATCTCTCCAGCGAGCCTTCATGTTCTAAGCAGGTCTGGGAGAGTTCATGAATGGGGCGGAGATGGCGCCTGCGGTACTGACTGGAAGTCCAACCACACCCGAGAGATCAGCTCAGGAGGTACGCGGACAAGCATTCAAAGGGGAGAATGACAAACTTCATACGCGCCTGGTTCTCGTGACACGGACTGCCCGCAAGCACACGACAGTCCTGCAGCAATCGTAGTCCAAATCTATGGACCGATAGGGTTGGTCGGGTTTGGTGACGGACGCAGCGCTATGGAAGCGCTCGAAGCGGAGTATCGATCGAAGTGGATAGTCCGTATGCAAGAACTGCACGCGCAATTTGCAGCACTAGCCGTGACGGCCGACGTTGACTATGATCCAGCTCGGGTTATTCAGGAGTTGCGCGGCATCTGCATCGAGCCAGACGATCTTGGGCCGAGGCCAGGAAACCTCTGGCGTTAGTCGATTTACTCCCAAATGAACCCCATGGCGCCTTCAATACTGCTCTCGTGATTGATTCGCAACGTGCCGACAACGACCCGGACATAGAGGATCTCGCAGAAATGGCGGAAAAGTACCATGAGGGGAAAACCCGGGGGAAACCACCCATGATGGTGATTCCGGCAGCCACAGCCGTGCAATAAACACAGTAGCACACGGAGGAGCGCGTGGATTCCGCAAGCAAGGTGGTCGTGGAGTAGGAGGTCGTCGCGGGGGAGGCGGTGACAACAGGTCGTCGAACGGTCCCTCGAGCGGGAACAAGTTTGGGTAGAACGGAAACATTAGGACACGCGGCCCATCGTACGGCGGAAACGGTGTGGCAAGTGCGGGAGGTAGCGCACAACAGGGAAACGAATCGTCAGGGAGGACTCATGGGCAGAACAATGGTAAGAACCGTAAAGGACGTTGTCGGTACTGCAGAAACTCAAAAGACATGGATGGTTCGACTGTTCACTGCGCGCATCGCACATGGAAGGAGACAAAGAGGAAAAAACCGAGCGGGCGAACGCTGTTGGACGAGAAACAACCACCCAGGCATGGTAGAGAAAGATTACATAAATGCTACAGCAACGCCACCGGACGAGCGAGCTGCTACGTGCACTAGCAACATCAGTATGTCTTGCGGGAATTTTGTCATGCGGCAACCGCTTGTGCAATGATAGCTATA